GGGAAGAAAAATATTAATACTTGATGCTTAATTTGCATATCATTAACATATAGCATATGAAACTGATGCATGAAGAATTACACCACTATTCTAAGGATAAGTCAGTTCATAAACATGTGCATATGAAAAGAGACGGTAGCTTCTTGAAAGACAATGTATACAGTAAGACCCGTCTTTTTCGCTCACATTACATTTTTAGCTAATTTGTAATTTCGCTAATTCAAAATATATTCAAAGTATATTCTCACAATAAAGATTGTTTTTTAGGTAAAATAAGATTCTGTTCATTCATGCATTGAGTCAAATTTTTTAAAATAGTGCTTCACAAGCAAGTACTTCCAGATCTTCCTGAACTTAAAACTGTCAGTTTCAACAAAATTGTCATGAAATTAAATACTGTGGAATACTGGTACTTTATTTTCGCTGGAATTAATTTTCGCTGAAAAGGCTTTTGGGGAGTTTTGCATGGAATTTATTTTCACCGATTTTTGATGAGTTTAATGTGAAATATAGGAAAAAAAGTATATTCGCTGGATTTTATTTTCACAGAATCATCCCTTCAGCGAAAATAGCAAAAATAAATTCCAAGCGAAAATAAAGTATTCTACAGTATTCATAAATTTCAATAGCAAATCCAAGCAACCAATCACAAAGCATAGTGCGAACATCATTTGAAAAATTGCCCAATAGCTGCTCGTTTCAGTTTGAATTGCAAAATTTAGAAAAATGAAGGGAATGGGTTTGTTGTGTTGATAGTACTATGGTGGTGCCACACAGCTATTTGATTCCTAGATTGGTATGGTAAAATATTTGATGCAAGCACAATTGGTAGGCAATAAATTGATGACGGGATAGTTTGGCAACACTAATGTGATAAATGCACGACAGGTCAGGTGAAATGTGTACAGTACAGTAATGTGACAATAATGTGAAGTTATTGAGAGGATACCTCAAAGAATGCACAAAGACAGTACAGCGAGAGTATCAACAGATGTGCAGCGAAGGTGTACTGTCTGAGTACAAACTTTGAGGTATCCTCGTAAATAACCTTATTATTATACATCTTTTCCTTCCAAGGACACATCATGGGAATGCCGAAATCCAAAATGGTTAGAACAGAATCAGCGAACTTCTTTGTTTGGAGTCCGGTCAAACCTTGATTGCAGCCATGTTTGTTTTTATTATTAGACGACGCTTTCACACACGTAATCATTCCATATTTGGAATTCACATTTCCTAATATGGTAGGATGTAAATACCCGTAAAATATCGCAAAATTATGGCACGCTGTAACTTATGGCATTACGGTGACAGATATATAATAACATGATTAAATGTGTATTATTTTTAAAGTTGTATGAAAAGTTTTATCATTTATAAGTGCACATAGATTTAATATGCAAGACAATATTTGTTTTGGATGTACTGTATCAGAAGCAAAACTAAAATAAAAGTGCACATAAGCCAAAAATTGCATTTATTGCATGCTGAATCAGTGAAATATGAATAACCAAAGATAATCTGTCATTTACATTAATAGAGAAAAATATGGTATCGGAAATTCAGTTCAGTCATCAGTTCTGCATTATAGAATTGCATGTGGCCTCTAAAAAAAAAAACAAATGCGCTGATAAATTAGCTGCACCTTATAGAGGGCACCATCATGTTACACATACATCATTGACTTGAAGCAAATAATGCACACAAGCAGAATTACAAATATGACAGTTCTCTACATTCATGTTATAGGAATGCAAAAATTCCTTTTTCTCAATAATAGTTGCAGATTTTCTTTGGTTTACTTCTCATTCCTTCTAGTATTGTTGATGTGACCAGTGCGAGCAGTGTTCCTTCCAAATCATATTTTTATGATATTTTCTCCAGTAAAAAGTTTCTCAGTGTGATTTACTAATCTGAGAAACATCTTCAATTTCATGCAATTTGTATTCAAATAAACATTTCTCGGTTTCTCGGTTGCTTAGAGAAACACAGTCTGTGAGGTGAATATGTACCGGTATATAGAAACTGTGTGTGTTGACAAAAGTGAATAATAGATTCAATTGAAATCAGATGATTTGAATTCCCATACTTTGAACATAGAATGCCCTTGAAACTTTGTTTCAAAGGTTTGATTGTGAGAAATAAGCAAGGTTAATAGACTAGTGATTCTATTCATGTAGGAATACACCTCCTGTATGAAAGGACACTAGAAAATAATCTACCTGGTAAGACATTTCAGATTTACTTGTGTTTAAGTTTACACGTGTAGCAAAAAGTGGAGTTTGACCCCAAAATAAGTTAACCCACTGTTGGGAAACCCTTGTACGTACAGATTATTACCCATTCTCAACCTTGGTTAGTTAAGCATGGAGTCATCAGAATGCTGGTCTTGAACCTTCTAACTGTAGGGTAGGTAAATAAGGCATGAAAAGGTGTGAATGCCGAGTTAAATGTAAACCAGAGTACATGTAATGTATGAACAGAATGCATGTTTAACTCAATAAATAATGAATAATTACAAAGGTTTTATATTCAATGGTATATTATCTCACACATTCCTGTGATCTACTGTAAAATGACTAATTTTCACTGGGTTTAAATTTTGCTGATTTACCATTTCAGGCATATTCAGTGGGTTTTAAATTCACGGTTTTATCATTTAGATAATGTGTTCTTTGCTAAATTTTACATATTCACTGGGTTTCAATTTAGCGCATTTTCCAGTCATCGAAATAAGCAAAATTAAAACCCAGTGAATAATTAATCCTTTTACAGTATATAGTAAGCACAAACATTAACTATTGAGTACATATGATATCCACATGTAGAATGTCATATTGATGCATTTTTTTTTCTTCATCCACAACACTGATTTTAATTTACTACAGGTACTATACAAATATTCAAAATCATGAAAATACAATTTTATTTCAGCGGTTCAAACAACACAAGTCATCACAGATTTGACGGTATTACACAAGGCAGCTTAATGAAAAACAAATTAATTGAAGTAACATCAAATTACAAATAGTATTCAATTTTAGTGTCATTGTTTTAAATGATGTAGTAATAGTTTATTTCATTTAGTTTTTATATTTGTAACACCTTTGTTGATTGGCTAAGATGTTGATTAACTTTCAAACAGGCTCTCGCGTCTTATGTCAGAATCCTCTGTATGGAGCATACATTATTAAATTTAATATTACAATAATACTGCCCTCTATATGTTACCTACTTATAAAAAGTACAGTCGTGCCCAGTCATGTTTCTATAGTTTCAAACGGAACAAGTCTCACATAAAAAATAATGTCAAACAACGTTTATTTTATAACACTTGCATATAAATACTCTAGTTTGAATCAAATCAAAGCAAGTGTGTCTGTCAAAATCCTGGTTACAGTCATAGAATAAGATTTACCAACTCAGACAGGTGTTATCAAATTAGGTGATATGTGATTAAAAGTAGTGATACATTCAGCCAATCAAAACTTTCACACCAGCATCAAAGGTTTAGTTTCATCCAATCAGAGATCAACATCTAGAAATATTTTATCCAATCAGCATCTACTTTCTTCTAAGCCATTCACAGCTTTCTCACGTCCTTTAAGCGTCTCTCGTCGGAACTTTTCGTAATGTATGCTTTCTGTGACATCTTTCAAATCTTGCATGTGGGACCTAATTAACATATCTCGCAAGTTAGCAAACTCGCAGTGGGCACGGTTTTCAACTGAAACGAAGACAACAAGTCAATGTCAAAATGTTAGGACTGATTGTGAAAATATATTCTATAATAGTATAGAAGTCTATGAAATATATTGACTCTGAACATACCTTCTATAAGTCCCCAGTTTGTTCTCCTTCCTAGAATGGGTTTGCCACTGACTTGGTATACTTTATCACTGCCGACAACAGCAAATGGCATTTTATCCTGTCATTTGCAGAAATATATAGCATTGATTTTAATGTTGAAAATAAATTACCTCAGATGCGCATACAAAATAATTCAGTTTTATAATTATTGTTATTCTTAAAATGATTCTGCAGAAAGCATTACCAATCAAATTTGGTACATGCAGACGATACTTTGAACATTTTAACTTAAAAAATAGTTTTAATGTTCAGCAATAAGCATTTAATACTTAATCCAATTTGTTTATACCCCCCCAACTCCGGGCAGTAGTCTGTGTGATATTGCACATTTTGGGGAACAGCTTATGGACCCCTCTATCCTTGGGGGCAGACATCCGGGTATTTTCATCGCCTAGCAACCATCACGGTGAAAACAAAGACCGAAGACTCTCAGAAAAACAGTACTTTGGGATGGTTGTTGAGATTCCCCTGAACAGTGTAACAAAATTATCCCTATGTGTACAACATATATAATTTGGTTGTTCAGGATCACTCCAAAGTTGAGTTTGTGTTGTTTTCTTGAATTTTGCTATTTTCAGCGGCTCCTCGACTGGCGTTCCACAGTAGCTCACGCAAAGACAATAGAAATACATGGTACAGTGTTGCACGTCTTAGCAACATAGAATGTTCTGTGATGTAGCTCCACTCCCCGAGGAAACACAGCATTCTCTAATGGATCCTTGAGGGCGCTATGCACTCTCAGAATTTATAATTGATTAGGTTTTTATTCATACTAAGATAGAGTTATGTTGAACTAAATCTGTGAATAATTGGTGACTAATTATGAAATTACTAACTGTAGTTTGTCCTACTTTGTTTGAACTACACAACAGACATTTTCACAATTATGTTTTGTTTAAATGACAGCATTCTACAAACATGAGGACCTATCATCATATGTTTACTTACCCTGAGGTTTGTATTAACTACCATATCTTCATCATCTTCATCTAAATGTTTCATGGGATATGTACTTATACCATGGCTATCTAGCTCATCTCGGATCTGAAAATTGAAATAAACAATCAGATTCTACATCAAGCACATGCTAAAATGCAATTGATCGTAGAGGATACCAGAGCTTGTTTTCATGTGGTTATCACAGTGGTATAGAATATACTGTAAAATCCGTATTAGAAACCAAGGCTTCTATTAAAATGGTACAATGAAACAGTGGAGATGCTGGTTCTATTAGAGCCCCTACACATATGAGAAATTTTAGTTCTCAATTGTTCAAAACGAATGAATGTGGGTCCTATTAGAAACGCAGCTTCTAATACAGATTTTACAGTAACTACCAGGCAACTATTTTGATTTGGTCAAAATTCACACAACTAAAATGTGTACGTATTTGCTCTATTTGAAGCACACATGAAACAAAAGTTGCATTTATTGTATATGAGATCACTACATTATGACTTAATTTCACCGTAGCCCACACCTGCATTACTTAACGCAATTACATCTGCTACAAACAGATCACATATGATATTTCCTTTAACTCGATAAAACATATATATTCATGTAAAAAGCACCCCAAATTCAGCAAAGTTTTGAGGGGAAGGACTTTTCTATTCCCATGAATATAGTACTAAAATGTACCAAGTATAGAAACAAATGTTAGCATTACAGCCAATGGCCATTGTAATTCTTACCTTTTTTTTGAATGTTTGCCTTTCCTCTACTGTTAGTGTATCAGCTTTAGATATAATTGGTACTATATTAACACATTTATCAAGACGACTCATAAATTCTAAATCTAAAGGTTTTAAACTGAAAAAAGAAAGAAATACAAGTGTAGTAACCTCACACATGAATATGTGAGTTGTACTGGATGTCATTAATAAGTATAAAGTGAGTATATTTTAAATATATAAAGTCAAACCTGTGTATAGTGATCACTTAAGGTACACTCAACCCTGTGTATAGTGACCACTCAAGACAGTCAAACCTGTGTATAGTGACCACCCAAGGTACACTCAAACCTGTGTATAGTGACCACCCAAGGCACAGTTAAACCTGTGTATAGTGACCACCCAAGGCAGTTAAACCTGTGTATAGTGACCACCCAAGGCACAGTTAAACCTGTGTATAGTGACCACCTAAGGTACACTCAAACCTGTGTTTAGTGACCACCCAAGGCACACTCAAACCTGTGTATAAGTGGCCATCTATGGTACACTCAAAGCTGTGACAGCCCAAGGTACACTCAAACCTGTGTATAGTGACCACCCAAGGAACTTCATTATTATCCTCAATTTTGTGTACCACTTGCAGTGAGGCACATCAGAAAGAGGAAATGCACACAGTGGATACAAATTCGAAGAATGTTGACATAAGTCTAAAACAACAATTTTTATTATATACTTGAGAAGCAAATCTTATTTTGGTGGTGCAGTTAACTTAAAAATTTGTCTTACCTGTGACCGGTTGGTGCAATGAAATATAGACAGCAATGAACTCTGGTATCTGGTATATGTCTTTTACGGTTCACACTGATTTCCTCACCTAAATATTTTTCATATTGCTCATTTATGTATTCAATTATTGGTAACCAACTGTAAAATAATTATGAAAAGCAGTCAAAACAATTAGTTCACATTTGAAGTCTATATATTGTGGCTTTTTGCAAATCTGTTGTTTGTTTTGTCAATATGACTATTTGTCTACATTTTTTTGTTCTAAACATATTTTCGCACCAGGCATCGAATGTCACTGTTTTTCGTTATTGACCTTTTTTAAATGTTTCTCATTGCAATTTGTATCTAGCTGACTGATTGCTAAGGCTCACTAACTTAATTTATTGTACCATCAATAAAAATTCCAATAAAAGATAATAAGCCCTTTTAAGTGTTTTTTATGTACCGGTATATAATAATCATTAAAGTACATAGTACATACATGACTTGTCTATATTTTTATCACATTGCCTGTTGAAAGCCTCCACAGACATACTGTAAAATCATTTATTTTCCCTGGCATTAAATTCCACTGTTTAGATATAATGAGCATATTCACTGTGTTTTAAAGCTCACAAATTTAGCAGTAAAACAACAAGTTTTATTGTATTTCACATGTCAAAAATAGCAAATCCAGCAAACAATTACCGTAATGCATTTACAGTACCAAAATCAATGGGCAAAAGGAGTCAGCGGAAATGCCCTACCCTCCACAGACATAACAAAAACAAGGTGAGAATTCAAAGAAACATAGAAAGAACTCCTGTGTGGGGATACATGAATCAGAAATAAAGTACATTTAAAATTGTTTCATAATTTTAAAATAGCCTTTTAAAATCAAAAGATCTGCACAAATATGTACCAAGCTTCATTGAAATCTGTTTAATGGTACATACCTGCGAAAACAAGTGAAAAATCTTAAAGGATGGTGCACGAGATGCATGGGTCTCGTATAAACAAATATGGCGACTTTGACTGTTGCACAGATCAACAAGTACAAACTGAGACATTTCCAAGCTTTAATTAGGTAATTTTTAGGTGATTGGAAGATATCAAAGGAGTCACTGGCGGTAATCAGTGCAAATGCGCCCAGGTCAAACCTCATACATGTGGTTTCCATTTAAAGAGTGCATTAGATTGTGAGAAAATCAATGTTTAGCAACACAAATGTCGCACATGCGCAGCGCGACGATCACCGGGCTTTGAAATTGGTTAATTAAAATGCACAGAGTACAACAAAAAACTGATCTGCGCATTATCCCAAAGCATATATATGTACCAAGTTTCATTACAATCCAATAATTGGTTCTTGAGATATCAGTGAAGCAGACACACGCACACAGACTTACATACACACTGACCACAAAGACTCCCATTGTGTGTTTACCACACAGGAGTCAGCAGGCAATGTGTTCGTAATTACCAATTTCACTTACAACGGAAGTCACACCTTGATTGTCCTAGTATTTATGCCCCTCCCCCCTCAGATAATATTCAGTTAAAAAATGTATGTATCTACCTAGCCCCACCCCTTCTTCTTCTACTTCAGCAAATTTGGTGTTTCTAGATCCCAGATAGGCTTTACAAGGGGGTGTGTGTTGTCTCAACTAAAGAATTCATTACTCGCATCCCATAACCAGACCTTATTTACAATATGACATTTCTAGTGAAAGAAGGATATTGTTTGCCACTTGCATCATGGCGTTGACAATAACCACACATAGTAATCTGATCTAGTTTCAGGATACAACACCAAACCAAAGGGAAGTGAACTGATTAGTTTTCATCATGTCAACAGTTCTAAAGGGTTGACCATTTGAAATAATGGGGGTTGTAGCACAGAGAGCAAAAAAAATGCATGCAGTGATGCAGGGGGAAAATATTGGCACTTTTGAAAAAATTAATAATATACAGATAAGACAATGTGGAAAATGAATTTGTCACACTCTTCCAAACACCCCAAATGAATTCAAATGTTTCACCCCTACCTAATGTTGATACTCACCAATTTTCATTATTAATATGATCACCAAATCCTGGCGTGTCTGTCACTGTTAGCTTCAAACGAACACTTTTTTCTTCAATAACTGTTCAATTATTAAAACAAGAGAAGAGTTAATCTACTTAATATTACTTTATGTTAGCTGGGGATATTTTCACTCTTTGTATGCATCCCAAGGATTGAATTCTTGTTTTGTGATTTAATAGATGAGGTTATGGTAAGGATGTGAATTCAAGTGGTCACACAAATTGCGATATGATCACATAATCAAAAAAGAGACTACATTTCAAGAACTCCTGAAGCAAATTAGTGAGTCTGAAAGAAATGATTTGTTTTCATCTTGGACTGCTTTTGCTTATTAGTGATATGTGATAATGATCACACAAGAATTGCTTAAGTTAGTCGAATTACCATGTGATCCCAAAATTGAAACAGAAACCTACATTTCTAAAACTTCTAATGCAAACTAGTGAGTTTGTGAGTGTTCATCTCAGATCATTTTTAGTAGTGTACTTCTTGCTTATTCGCAGGGTTTATATTATTTGTATATTACGTTTTTTGAAAAAAGCAATAAATCTTGCTCCTTTATGTTTGCAAATGAACAACCAAACATTTCCAATCACCCCTGGGTTCTGTGATGCTATTGGTTAGAAATGCTTGTAAATCACAAAGTTCACAAATCTTAATCACATATCACTGTACCTGGAGAAAGTTGCATACCCTTATCTTATAAATCCTTGACACAAAACAAATTTAACTCTTTGCACAGAACGGAAATGAAGAGCAATGTCAACATTTGACACCTTTCACAAAACACATCTTCATGTATATTTATTTCAACAACAAAAATGATTGAAGAGAAATTATGTGCATTTTATTTAAAATTAACAAACTAAACATATAGAAAACACATAAAAAAGTTCAAAATATGGGCATTCAAATGGTTATTGTAAAATACTTTATTTTAGCTGGAATTAATTTTCGCTGAAAAAGACTTTTTGGGTGTTTTGTATGAAGTTTATTTTCATCGGCTTTAATGAGTTAAATGTAAACTATAGGAAAAATATAAATATTCGCTGGATTTTATTATCATTGAATTATTCTATTCCTTCAGTCAAAATAGCGAAAATAAAGTATTTACAGTACTGTACAACACTTTATTTTTGCTTGGAAGTAATTTTCGCTATTTTTGCTGAAGGAATGATTCAGTAAAAATAAAATCCAGTGAATATACTTTTTTATACCCTATATATTACATTCAAATTGTCAAAAATCAGTGAAAATAAAATCAACACAAACATCCAAAAAGTTTATTCAGCCAAAATTAATTCCAGCTAAAATAAAGTATTTTACAGTAAGTTCCACAAGAATACATGTAGTGTACAGGAATTACAACTCACCATGTCCAACTGACTTTATTTGCACTGTTTTTGGAATGATTGGGGTTTTATCTTCTTCAGTGGCACATGACCTTCGGCTGACCTTAGCTTTAAATAAAGTATTGACTAGAGTGGATTTTCCTAAACCACTTGCTCCTACAATCAGAAAACATAAACAAATATGATATAAATATATCAAGTAATTGTTTTATACAAGACCCTGTGAGTTAAGTTTAAGAAATATCTGTTAAGTTTAAATATCAATGGTCAGAGCACGTCAAAGATACGACTCCAGAACTGCACTCATTAAAACTATACAATACAATACATGACACTTTATTATCACCATAAAAAAATTACAATCTTTTTGGGCTCTGAGTAATAAAGTTAAATTAATAAACATAATTAGCCATTTTAATTTTTTATTGATCCAGTCATTTTTAATGACATAGTCCCTGTACACACAATTATGTCTAGTCTTTGAAATAGAATCACAGGTGGAGATAGAGGCATGCAGGGCACACACAGGTCAAGACGCAATAAAATCTCCGTTTCCGGACTGTCTGAACAGGCTTAATAAAATTATGTAGAAATTATGACATCAATATTAGTGAAGTGGTCAAACCACTTATTAAAAAATGGCCTGTTGACGACTTTTTCCATCATTCGTTTTGATATCCATGGACGCCTTTCAGTAGGCAATGTGTGGTTATCTTTTTCAATGGGAAATTGCAGTTCTTATATCAGTCACCTTAATATATTACCGGTACCTTCTAAAACCAATCTGTTGCCATAGAGGGCATACTTTTATTGAGATGTTATGGAGGGCATACTTATATTACGTTGCTATAGAGGGGATACTTTTATTGAGATGAAAGACAAATACGCAAGATTGATATGACCACAAATATGAAAGCAATAACACCAACGAAAGTTCTCGCTTAATTTATCTCATTGATTCCTATAAAGTTTAATCAAGGTGAACTGAAATCTCTAAGGGGTGGAGATATGTGTGAAGTGAAATGGATACAAGTTTCTATTAGTCTAAACTATGCAACTATTCACTCTTATAAACACTAAAGTCAACTTTCACAAAATAAATCTTCATAATTTCTTTCATATTCAAAAGTTTTTACTAAAACCAGGGAATTATCTCCATTTGGTTTAAAACCAACAAAAATGAAAGAAAACGCAAAAAAATGTGCAAAACACTGCCCCACATGACATTCCAATGGTTGAACTACTTTCTTCAATTTCATTAAAAATGTTTAACACTATGATTAGTAAAGAAGTGTCATGTTTAACTATTGTAATCTAATGCACTAGTTTTCAAATTTGATTACATGTAAGAAATCTGAGACTGTTTCGCAGTAAAAACATTATAACATACATACATTACACAGAGGGTGTAGTCCCATAAGATTACATTATCAGAGATATGTAACTGTTTGTTATTTCATATTTATCATAATAATCACTCAATTTAATTTATTCATGAATGCAAATATTATAAAATCAATAATCTTGTTACCAGAAAAGAATAATATGCTTATATAGTAATTTTTATAACATTTTATGATATTTCTACAAGTATTTTAAATAGGCTTGGCAGAATGGGGGGGGGGGGGGATTCCAGGTATATTTGCTTCATTTGGATATATATGTCACATAGAAGCATAGTAGCACATGTAAGCCAAAAATAATGTGGTTGTACTAGAACATTTTAAGCATACTTAAGTCACACTGAATCAACACGCTAACTTGATTTATATGAGTGCATACGCACTTCTAACAGAGCAAATGTTATATATGTATTAGTCGCCATGTATATAATTATAACAAAATCATAATAGTGAAAATATAGAAGTTCTAAAAGTAAGAAACAAAAATTAAAAAAATTGTTGGCAAGAAATTAGTTAACTTGAGTATACTTACTAATATACAAGCTCAACATAAAATTTTAATAATTTGAGTGCAATAATACAAAAAATAATTAATATTAAACAATAACAATGTTGCTTTGTTTATTATTCAAAGTAAAATTTGCAATGAATACATATAAATATCATATTGTGCAGAGAGAGATTATATAACAATTTATGCTCATTAAAACCACCTGTCAACAATTACAGTAACCTTTACTGTTTTAATTAACATGAGGTAAAAATAAAAAAGAAATTTAATTGACATACCTACAACCATGATGTTAAATTCAAATCCTTTCTTGAGGGCTTTTCTTCTGATCTGTTCTTGTATAGTATCAATGCCAACATAGCCCCCAACATGCGTCTTCAGTGCTCCCCAGTTGGTAGTCTGTGCCATAGCATCTGCCATGACTCCAACAAAATCAGTGAACTGGATTAAACCTAGATAAGTGGAAAAGTAGAATTAAAGTCAACTGCATATCAGTAAAGGTGAAGTAAACAAATTTACACATTGACTAAGAATACAATAAATAATTAACTTGTCAGTATTTCAGAATGAATATACTAGTTGTTGTGGTGAATAAAGAATAAACATGCAGCTACCTTATTTGTACAATAAATGCCTGACCATGAAACAATATTTCAAAATAATCGCAGTTAGATGATCCCTGAATTAGCAACCAGACAAAACAGCAGACATCTAATTATTGTATGCGGCTGTGTGGATAGCCGGATGCAAAATGTTACAAATATGGCAAGTTTTTGTTTCCTGCCACTCCCATCTAGTATGCGACGCGAGACAAAAGGAAGTACTAACAAAGTTAATAACCAATCACAAGAATATTTTCGATCTACACCATCCTGTCAGTAATGTTTGCAGGCTTTGTTAGAATACCGATTACACGAAACAACCAGCGAACAGGAAGAGGATAGTCAACGAACACACTCAACACGGGAAGCCCAACATAGCATGAGGGTCAAGGGTCAAGACCTGTGCAAACACACAGAGACATGGATTACTACACTAATGCTACAGGGTCATTGGATAATAAATTAAACTCATGAAATAAACATCTCTGAAAGAGTTCACTTCATTAAAAACAATTTTAATATTTTTTTTTTTAGATTGTGCTTCATATATACTGAAAAATAATAAAAATAAAACAATTGAGCCATGAGTTATTAAATTCATTTATAAGAATTAATGTTTCCCAGTGAAAACATTCCATTTACATTTCAGTATATCTCTCCACAGATAAAAAAACAAGATCAGCTTCCTACCAGCAAAGTGGAAATACACTTTGTAACAGGATCAAATAACAGTTGTATGCCATATGACAACTCAAAGTAAACATAAATAATGTAGGAAAGAGTTGCCAATACACTGTAATGTTTTACACTGAACGTGCCGAGTATGTAGTATTCCCAAAACCCTAACACCCTAGTCTGTACTACAGCTGGAACTTAAAAATAGGTCATCTGGGACTCTCTAATTCATCACCAAGTCTAAAAGACAGCATTCCTTGCTAGGCGCCATTAATTTTAATGCGTAACACATGGCAGCTACTACATAGGGCTTGATTATACCCAGGGTTTTATTTTCGCTTATTTCGCTAACAGCTAAATGTGTTAAAATAAAACCCAGTTAACATTCAAATTCAACAATAGCATGTATTGTATCCTTAACCTCAAATAAAACCCAGCGAATATATTTCACCCCCTACAGTACATACAACTGACTGTCGACTGAATATGACATCAGTTTTATTCTTACAAGCGGGCACCAGAATAAATTTATTTTGAAAACCTCTATCTTACTACCAATCTTCCTTGGAACATTGCATTATCCCTCACTGACAGTAATTGGTTAGCAGGCACATACCCCCCTTATATATATACATACTGATCTCAGAAAACATGATTGTTTCAAAAGTCAACGGCAAAGACTGCTGGTAACTTTGCTAGGAATATTGCAATGTTCCTAAGAACAATGATAGGAAGATAGCTGTTTTCATGATCTGTTTATTTTGACGCCAACTGTAAGATTCAACTAGTTTTTAGTTTTTTGTTTAAACTCCCCTCCCCTCCAAAATTAACAACTACCGGGTAATACAAATGATGGTATCACTGGTAAAAAACAACTTGAGGGTCAATTAAGTGAATGTGGTTGCTATGGCAATTTTTTACATTTTATTTACAGGATTATTGGGATACAATAAGTATGAGAAACATAATACGTTCCGGTACATGAAATTATTATCGCCAGACATGTTCATGTTTGCTCAAGAGAGTGACATTTTCCTACTGCTATGTGATTTTGTGTGTTCAAATTGTGTGCAAACAATGCATGTTACATGTGTTGTGTATGTTGCATGGGACCCACACTGAACAAGAACTGTGCTTCACTATAGAGAATTTGTTTCTGGTGAAAACAACATAGTTTACATGCATCGCAGAATGATATCCCAGGTATGATTCACTCATATCATTCCCCGCATCAATGTCTGACTGACATCTTGAACTGTATCAGACCCTTGTAATGTTTGTTACCATGGTACCATAAGGCATAATATATATTAGTCTCAAACTGTCTCAGCAGGTAATACTTTAAGTCCTAGATTAATATTTATCCTGACTGGCTGTTGGAGATAGAAAATCAATTAAAGTATAAGTGGATAAGGTTACGCAGACTGACTAGCCAGTAGAATGACAGTAGACTGAATGTTGCCACCTCAGGGAAAATACTATGTTTCAACAATCCAGTGTTTTCAAATATTTATCTGTTGTTTCAGCTGTG